CTTAATTGAAGTTTATAGGTAAGAATTGCTCTTGTTTTCTTATAATAAGCCTAAATACGTAGTTCTTTAAATATTATCGGATTTCCAGTTTGGTTAAATTGAAAAGTGGATTTTCACTTGCTTTTACAATTCACCGTCTAGAGTGCCAGTTCAGGGTTCCATTGCATTTTTCTCCCGATTAATCAATTTGTTATGCGGAAAACGTCCATTTAACGTTGCTGTAGTGTTGCCCCACGAAAATCTGAATTACCCTTTTTTCTGTCTTAAACTCTAAGTGGATGAAATAGAAACAAATCTTAAGAAAATATTTTCAATATTAAGCTTTTGTTGCTGTTTATTTCTTAGAGTATGGCCAGTAAAATAAAGCTCTAAGCTGCTATCGTGACAAACTGAAAAGTGGTTCAGATTCGTATCGCACTAAGTAAATAATAGCATTCCTATTATTAAACCGTTTGATCGTATCCACGAAATACAAATAAAATGTATTCCTTACACAGAATTTTCCTTTCGAAACTCGTTGGGTTAGAAACTCACCATGAGGTTTCGCTTTATCAAAAGTGATTATTTTTAGTTGCTCAAAGGATCCAATTCATTCTATTTACACTTATTCTCAGTGTGGGAGCCGATATGTCCTTTTTGATTCTCAGTGCTTTGTGATCAGAATTTACTTTTTTCATTAATTAAGTAAACTCTTAAGCAAAAATATACAATTTTGAAGGACGAAGTTTTTCGTGTGATCTTGAATAAAAACAGAAGTAGTGTTAAAAAGACCTTCTTGAAAGCGGCAAAAATGTAAATACACAAAATTTGGCGAAAATCCATAATTATCACCATTTCTATTAACGGATACATTAGGTACGGCCGTATCATTGAGTGACGGTGGCAAAACGTAATTAAAGCTTCTATGGAGTTTTTCCTGTTAGTAGAGATTTCATGTTAATTGTTTCCGTGAAAGGGAAATTTAATTGGAGCAAATATACACTGCCATAGATAGCGGATGGTGTCTTAAAAAATAAATAACGGTTATCAACTCGCTTTAGTGCATTAGGTTATCAAATACCGTCTGAAACCAATATCCAGTTTTGGCTCTTCGACACAAACCTTTTATCACTCCAGTCACAAAAAAAAAACATGAACGCGGGACCTTTAAAGTACATGGATATTCAGGGCTTTTGATCAAGTACTATAAAATATCTATAAATCTATTTTTCCGAAGTTTCAGCAATATTGGATTAAACGGTTTGTTTTTCTGTTTTTACCCGTCATAACATGGCATATCGTTTGATCATTTTTTTTTCTACTGAATAAATAACATAATCAACCTGGTTAGCAATCTGACAACAGATAATCCTGAAGGCGTTAGGAATAAACGCTTCATGAAAAGCAAGTGAATATCCACACTATAACAATGTCGGTTTTTCTTACTGTGAATCTGGCTTTTCCAAACATCGTGACTTGAAAAATAATGATTAAATCAAGACCTTTCCTTGGAAAGAGAATAAGTCACAACAGCTAACAATATCATAAGAGGTATATTGTATTCGATTAGTCGATGACATATAATATGGTAAATGGTTTGCATTTGGAAAAGGTTATCACAAACCAACTTCACTGATTTTTATTTATTAGCTTAAACCCTCGTTCTTACTTGTATTTGGTATCTTACAAACACACCGCTTTCAAATATCTGTATTTGCCTATCTTAAAAAGCACTTCATCTCCAGAATGACTATTCCAGGGTGTTAAGATCAGCCATTTAAATACTTATCGTCATTGTTATATTTTTCCTCAAACAGGTGCATAAGCCTTTCCTAGATATAACATAATATTCTTTTTGTGCACATTTACTCCTCGTCCACACGTATCTGGATATTTTTTAATGAGGAGATTTGTTTTTCATTCGTTTTTGAAATTAAAAAAACAAACAAACAAACAAAGAAAAAAAACTAGTAAATACATAGCGAGTTTCTCCCATTGTACTGACACTAAAATGTACACTTGAATGTAGAACATGGGCTGTATGATGTAGGACATCATCGTACAGTATTCAAATTTCATTCGTATTTCGTCCGTCGACGCGAAAACGATAAGCCGGCGTTTTCAAACTGCCCCCACCGGGTAGTGTTTTGCGAAAACCTCTGATTTTTTTGCCCGAAATATCCGTTTAATTTTAGTTTACTTGTGGACGGAAGGTAGAGACGGAGGCAAAACTCCGTTTCAAAAATGCCTGGATATGCGTCGACGGGGACTTAGCCTCATATTCAGGAGAAGTCAAATTGCAATGCCCTTTGTCTTTGGCACGAGCTACCTACACGTGCCTCCGGACACACGTGCCGTTCAATGACTCGACAAGTTGGACTGATCAGTGCTTTGGCAAAACGGAAGGTACAACCGGGCTATAAAAAAACCTTTGTACTGAAGTGTTCTTTTTTAAATAATGCGCTGATTGTACAAATGGCCGGAAGAAATTGCTAAATCGGACCGGTGTTGCTGGTGACAAGAAAGTTACACGATGGATAAGAGTCTATAAGAGCCTTGATTTTTCCATTGATACTGAGGCACTTCCTAAGTGAATACGAAAATGAAAATCCCGGTGGGGGGGGGGGGGGACCCCCCCAAATTTTGGGGTATGGGGGCCCCGGGGGGGTTTGAAACCCCTCCCCGTTTTTGGAAAAAAAAAACCAAAATTCAAACCCCGTTTTAAAAAAAACCCCCACAATTTTTTTTCCTTTTTTGGAAAAAAGGAAAAAACCCCCCCCTTTTTTTTTAAAACCCTTTTTTAAAAATGCAAAAAAAAAAAATTAACTTTTAAAAAATTGGCACGTCGATGCTATTGTAAACACGGTGTACCTGTTTCTTACAGTTCATGAAAACGTATCTGCATGGTTTACCTGGAGCTGGTCGTTCAAACGTGCGTTGTAACAACAGACAGGAAAGATGGAGGGTGGTGGGGGGGGGTGTGGGAGATAAAAACATAGTGCAGTAGAGAGTAGTACATGAGAGAAGTTTTTGTTTTCGTTGGGGGTGGGGGAGACGTGGAGGAAGGAGAGAAAAAAGGGGGGGGGGGGGGGGGGGGGGGGGGGGGGGACTCGACCAATATTTGGGTATAGGTGAGCCGCTGAGGGTTTGAAACCCTGACCCTGTTTAGGACAAAAAAATCCTAAATTACATACCGTGTTTAAGACAACACCCTCAATTTTATTATCCTGTTTAGGACAAAGGACAAAATCCACGCCGTCTTGTTTTAAAGCCATTTATTAACAATTGCAAAAAAACAAATTCACGTTATAGTAATTGCTTTTGTATACAGAATTCATCTTGGAAATCAAATATACCCTGTTTAGGACAGAGAGGTCGAAAACTTTACCCTGTCCAGCGGCACATCCCCGTATAGGCCATAAAAGGGAGTACCCCCCGGATCTCAATGAAGCACAGAAGAATGAAAAAAGTCAGAGAGAGCAAGAGAAAATTAAAAATGCACTGTAAAAGCGTTGGATAGCACCATCCTTTGGAAGAAAAATCACTATGTAGCGGTTAGGACCTGGGGAAACTAATTGAATGCTTTAATTAATGGATAGAGATTTATTCTTCGGATGGCGCACGTTTGAACGACCAGCTCCAGGTAAACCATGCAGATACGTTTTCATGAACTGTAAGAAACAGGTACACCGTGTTTACAATAGCATCGACGTGCCAATTTTTTAAAAAAACAAATAAAATCATAATGAAGAAAATAAAGGGGAATGGGATCAAGAGGAGAAGGCACCAGATTTTGTTACGTTGTTCTTTTTTACCTTTTCTGACTTTCGTCGCTGTGTGCTGTAGCGAAAAATAAAATGCAAATTATATGTTAATTAACCTTCGATCAATTTTATTAAAAACAAACAAACAAATGACAAAAATAAAACTCTGTTATAGGCTTCGTCCAGAAACTTAACCAAAATTAATGGAAAAGTTGAACTGTTTTTCCTCTCAAGGGTACTAAGCAAAGAAGCTGTTGGTTTTTAAATAAGGGATTTTGTCATTTGCCTGGCGAGGCCGTAAACATTAAATCAGTAACCTGCTCCTCAAGTTTTTTGCAAACGAACTTTGTTGTACATTTAATCAGTGTTTGCTGTGTTATACAAATGTAGAGATCGTAGCATTTCTCTATCGTTCATATTTATAGTTCTACCAAGAAATTTCTTTCGCACACGCGATCGGTAATTTTTATAATAATTCACGAGTCACGTTTCCTGTTTATATGAACGTTTTGTTTTATTATACAATATTTTTATCATGATCAATGCCTTCTGGAAATTAATACTTAAAACTAATAAAGAATAGAAACGAACCTCCCCTAAGGGGAACTCAACAAGGAAATTAAGTCATGAAAACGAATGATCTATACAACAACACAATAATTTGTTGTCGGATATGTCATTGCGTGCTCGGAGCCTTTTACTCAAATGGCTCAATTCAGTGTTGAACGTCTAGCACGTATCTCAATTCAGTTGACACATCATTACTTGCTGGGGAGAGTTTCAAGGATTTTCTCCGAAACGATTATTGTTTGCCATACTTTCTTCTCTTTAGGCGTAAGGTTGCCCTGTTTGCGAGAAATTGACATATAAATGTTAAGGGATATGGCAGTGCTCGGGATCTGAAACGTCAATCAAAACGGCCGCCAGCTTGGCGTCAACTTACATTCAACTGAAAATTCAGGTCTAACCAAATGGTAGAAAACTAAAGTAAAAAAAAAGGTTGTTCCTTTCTGTGACATTTCATAATTTCGTTTTGGTTGACGTCATAGATCCCCAACACTGCCATGCTTCGTAATATTTATGTAATCTTGGTGGAAACTTTTTTAATATTAGTTCCAAATATCATGCCCCAACAAAAACTTTACCTTAGAGGGAGGTGAAAAATTACATCATGGAGCAGCAGCCATTTATCATTCATCTTGAAAAACTAAAATTTTTTCTGTTTCTCACGCAGACCACCTCAGATGAACCAGTACGATGGAAAGGCCGAAGTCTGAATATGGAACGAAAGAGAATTTCAACTCAACGATCTTCGACGGTGAGGCGACAAAAGAAACTCCTTGGGGTGCGATGCCAGTTTTCATCGCCGTGTTTCTCATTGTCCTCGTTTTGATGACAACAACTGGCAACCTTGTGGTCTGTCGTCTTTTCTGGGTTTGTCGACGCATGCGTATACCGTCCTTCTATTTTGTTGTCAGCATGTCGTTTTCTGATTTCCTTATGGGGGTATTGGTCATCCCAATGGGCCTAGCATATCACATGACCTTCCAAACAACAGGTAACAAATATGATCGCCTCTAAAAGCTTCGCCGTAGTGAGGGACAGGGATTCCCTAACAAAATGTTTTTATTCGATTTTCTTTCCTTCTCTTAAGAAATATTTTTGTATTCCTTGGAAACTCTCTCCTCCGAAGAGGCCTGTTTGTTTGGTAGGGAGGCGGAGGAGAAATAAAAAGAAAGCGAGCAGGAGGNCTGAATATGGAACGAAAGAGAATTTCAACTCAACGATCTTCGACGGTGAGGCGACAAAAGAAACTCATTGGGGTGCGATGCCAGTTTTCATCGCCGTGTTTCTCATTGTCCTCGTTTTGATGACAACAACTGGCAACCTTGTGGTCTGTCGTCTTTTCTGGGTTTGTCGACGCATGCGTATACCGTCCTTCTATTTTGTTGTCAGCATGTCGTTTTCTGATTTCCTTATGGGGGTATTGGTCATCCCAATGGGCCTAGCATATCACATGACCTTTCAAACAACAGGTAACAAATATGATCGCCTCTAAAAGCTTCGCCGTAGTGAGGGACAGGGATTCCCTAACAAAATGTTTTTATTCGATTTTCTTTCCTTCTCTTAAGAAATATTTTTGTATTCCTTGGAAACCCTCTCCTCCGAAGAGGCCTGTTTGTTTGGTAGGGAGGCTGTGGAGAAAGAAAAAGAAAGCGTGCAGGAGGAGATGGGAAGAGCCCCATCGCCCCTCGCGAGCTTTCTGTTTTTCGATCATTGCCATTTTTATTGGGATACCCAACGGGAGCCTCTGCGGAGGAGAGAGCCCTGGAAACGATCAAGAAAAATTGTTTACACGATGGTTCCATGGTTACGACTCTTGTCGCAATATGCTATACACGTTTCTGCCATTTTCAACCTTTTCTCTTCACAAAACATGCAAAAGGCAGCAAAATACATAATTATACTTCGTGGTTACGATGGCTGAACACAGTTTTCTGGATTGCTTTTAATACCCCCTATCCCGAGGAGATACGCGGCCAATAAGCTTTTAGAGATAATACAGGTGGTACTGAGAAGTAGAAAAATGCCCAGAAGTTGTCAGTAAAATCCTATTCTGTTTTGGTCGCCTTTTACATGTCACGTGGTTTTAGCGCGCACATAGGTGCTGAGCATGCGTACTAAGGGAGCAACCTGGAATGTTGACTTTCTTAGGCAATGTAAACAAACGACAATATCTTAAAATCTACTCATTAAAATTTGACGAAATTTGGCAGAAGTCCTGTTCATATCTTTCTTCAGTCAATGAAAAATTAATTTTGAACAAAGGAGTTTCCTGATACAAACAAGTTTCTCATGAAAGTTATTTTCTTAAACAAGTTCAACAACTGTTTGTTACACTTTGGTAAATACGCTTTTAAAAAATGGTGGGTTCTGATTGTTGGATGTGTGCAAATTCATAAAAGAAATCTAACGACTGAATTTTGAGTAAACCTAATAAATTCAAAATCTTAGACTTCTTGTTTATCATCCATGTTGCCATGGCAACGATCCAAACTTTTAACCTACTAAATGTAATTTCTTATAAATATATTTTGCCTGTGCCAAAGGTGAGCTTCATACCTGCGATGAATCTGAAATAACACCCAAATGAATGGTAACGATACACAACCTATCGGACTGTTTTGAGCCGCCTTAAAATATACACATTTTTAAAACAAAACTAAATGCAAGGCGGCAATACGGCAAAGGGCTGATTTATTTGAGTCCAATATTTCGGCTAACAAAATTAGCCTTCCTCAGGGCCAGAGCTACACTGAAAAAGAATACTATAACAGCTCCAAAAATTTGAATTTAAATTTACGTGAGAGGTTAATGATAAATTTAAAATGAGAACAATAGATAGCTTGATGGATAGGTAAAAAAAATATACAATAAAGTGATTGATAGGTTCATCCCTTTACCGTATTGCCAGCCTTGCATTCAGTTTTGCTTTAATTCTCACTTCAAGTGACGTCTACGTCTATCATCTTTACGTTAAAGATCCGGCAAGAAAGAATCAGTCGGTTTTATTTACGCATGGAGTGGAACTCTGCTTTCAAGGGTTTTTATACACATTTTTGATGGCTACCATTTTGGCTGCGTTAGTGGTGGGGGTTCGAGTTAAATTTTACCTCCGTGGTTCAAACCTTTTTAAAAACGTTCTCAGTACTCACAACCCGGCATGACATTTTACGTTAAATCTGATCAGACTATCATAGAAAAAATAAGCTTGACCAGGAGCCCATCAAATTTGACGGGCTCCTGGCTTGACCAATTCTTTTTTAAACTATTTTTGCAGGTCGATGGATTTTTGGCAATTTCCTCTGCAATCTCTGGTTGTTCCTAAACTTTCTTTTGTGCAGCGCCTCCATTTTTAACCTGTGCGTGGTCAGCGGTGACCGTTATATTGCTGTGACGTCACCACTGAAGTACATGTCACGCATGAACGAGCACAGAGTTAAACAAATCATTGGGATCGCTTGGTGTGGGGCATTGATTTTGGCTAGCTTTATAATTTATGGTACGAACGCCTCCAAGAACAACAGCAAAAATTGTTCGATTTGGGGTTTACATTACGAGTACTCTATCGCTCTGCTCGTAGCAGGATATGTCCTGCCAGTGTCTTTCCTTGTTTTTGCGAATGGCAAAGTATTGTTCATTGCTCGTACTCATCTCAACAAAATTCATGCTCAGGAGTTTTCGCTTAGTACACTGTCAGAGGCAAGTTGTGGACCAACAACAAGAAGCAAACAAATGCCCTCAAAGTCAAGAATAAGACGGGAGATAAGGATCTTTAAAACGTTTCTTATTGTGACATGCGCATTCCTCATTTCTTGGACTCCTTTTGTCGTCATCCTTTTGATCGACTCTATTTTCAACGTACCCGAACTTATCAGGCATTCGTCGATCATTCTGTTGTATTGCAATAGTGCCCTAAATCCTTTCATATATGGATTCTATAACTCAGAATTTAGAAAAGCACTGTCTGAAAGTTTAGGTTGTAAATGATTTGATATATTTGGAACTTATGCTTTTTGAGCGACGCAACTCAATCGGAAACCAGCTTTCCCCTTTTAATATGCTTGAGTTTACCACATTTGTATTACTACGTGTCTTTACTCTTATAGAGACAATCTGCCCTAAATTTTGGGCAAAACCACAGGTCGCCCAAGAATGAAAATAGTCCACTTCAGTGGTTGACGTGCGTCGCTCAAAAACGTTTTTGCTCTGCTCCCTATTCGGATGGGCTTAAACAACTAACTAGCCGCCGGTGAAAAGTTCAGGAAAAGCCAGATGAGGTTCGCTGTTTTGTGTACTTTCTACCGCTTAAACTACGCTACGTAGCTACTTTATATAAGGTTTGACTTCAAAAATGCGAGAGATTCGCCATCTTCATTGGCCCTAATTTTTTCGAGCCCCGTAACAGGCCATTTGCACTATGGCGTCAGTTTTACTACTACCATTACCAGAATTCTTCAGGGTTTTGTTAGCTTGTGAAAATTATTGCTTTTGTTATGTAAACCTCATTGGGATTACCAAATTTAATTCTGAAAGAAAAAACGAAATGAATTCTGGTCGTAGTAGTAAAAAGCGGACGTCATCAAGCAAGGCCTGAGCAAATGACTTGATACAGTGAGGGCGAGTTGAAACTTATTTTCATATAAAACAATGCTCTTAAAGATTCACTTTGAAAAGAGGCTTAAGGTAATTTAGAGTGGCTTGTTATAGTTATAATTTCTTTCTGAGATCCCACATTTCCCTAATCCAGCAACGGAGCGGGCATCCTTCCGCTGGATAAATGTGGCATGGGGTCTGGAAACAAGAATACTGCGAATGATTCAGAGGCCTCTTGTGTGTTAGCATAACTAGATGTAAATTCGTCCTGCCGATGGGAAAGTTCGAGAAACTATATATGAATTTTTAAAGAACGGTTGTGCCTTACGCAAACGTAAGATTGTATGGCTGACGGTCACTCGGAAAATAAGTTAAGGAATGAGACAATTCAAAAAGAAGGTTGCCCAGTCCCATCCCTTCCGCATTTCCTAAGACTGTTGGACACCGTCTTTTATTCTTGTTTTGCAATGCACCCTGGTTGAACTACTTGTGAACGTTTCTTATTTTTTAAAAAAGCTAATTTGGCAACAGCCTGATTCCTTGGCAAATTCACTCCATGAATTTCAACCTCTTTTCGGGATGTTCGATTGATCGCCGGTATTCTATAGTGGAACCGATGAATGGAAATACAACCTTTTCAGGGCTCCATGAACTTTACCTTTCGCGCGCGCCGCTTTTAATACAAAGCTCAAATTATACAACATTCCAGTGGCTCAAAAACCCGAGGAAAATGAATTGTTACCTCTTGGCCTGCTAGAGAAGCAACAAGAGTGCAAACTGCATGTATTTCTGAAAAAGCCTTAAAATTCACTTCATAAGAGGAATTTCACGAAAAACTTTGTATTGCCTATGTAAAATAAAGAATAAAGCTGACACACCATTTTCTCTTTTAATATGAGTGGCTTCCAACTGATTGCTTCCAGTTTGGTTCTTGCGTTTGCCTATGAGCCTCTATTCCAAAGCGAAGCTGCCTTCGAAGTCTGAGTTATAAATTTTTTTTAATTTTTCATGCAAAAAAATCAAAGTTTCACATAAAAGATTGCATTTCGCCTCCCTTGAGTTGTGAGTGACAGACTATAAAGTTAATTATATATGTCAGTGAGACGAGGAATTCCAGTGGAAAGAGTGAAGTTCTCTTTTAAAACAACTTTTATAAATGGCAGTTTGATCGGTTGAGTGGCGTGTTTTCACGAAACTGACGAGCGTATGTTAACACCGTTAAATCAAACATGAATTTGAATACTCGAAAAGTTAACTTAATGGAACCCATTTCCTTGACGGCTGACATTTGGAAGATCTTTACAAACATGATTAGTTTATCAAAGTTTTTTTCGCTGAAGTTACATTTTGAGAGAGATAAATCCGTATCAGTCAAGATAAGGTAAAAAGTCTTCGTAGACAACACTTTGCAACTAGTAAGAATTTTTCTTTAATTCAGCGCCGTTAACAAAGGGTTTTTTCTCTTTCTTGCTCTAGTTTTGGCGTTTTTCAGGCGAAGGCAAGCGCGAAGCGAGCGAGCATGAAAATATTTGCTTCCGTCATTCCCTCGCCACGCTTTTCCGGCGTTTTACACCAGTCTCGTGGATCGTTCCCCAGGGAAAACGCACAAAAATAGCACCTGATCTGAAGGCTAGGAAATCGTGGACGACTACCCGCAACGTTGATATATATGACAGTTGCAACAGGGCGCCATTTTACTGGCTACAATCACCAGAATTCTTCAGTTTTTTTATTGTTGTTTTCTTGTGCAAACAAGAGTTATTGTATTTTAAAGAGTTCTTTAAAAAGAAAGCAAAAACGAAATGAAATATGTTAGTTGTAGACAGTAAGTCAAATCTAGTCACCGCGAAAATGGCCTATTCGACAAAAAGTCAGTGAGAGACTACTCACATTCTTTTAAAGTCAGAACGAAAGGGGGGAAATGAACTGCAGGATAAATGCAAGATGAATGTTGCAAATTACGCGAAACAGCGAAAAAAAAAATAGCGAAAGCGAAAAAGCAATCTCAGTAGACATTTGAATTAAAATGTTGAGAAACAAACGAAAAGAACAATAGGGAGATAGCCAGGGATGTAACTGGTTTATAGAGAAACTGGCGATGCCTGTATTTAGTAGTGTATCTGAAGCCATATGAATTACTCAAGCTCCCTGATCAAGCCAAAAAGCTTGTTAATATTATTTGCTTCGTTTTCATTTTGATGATTACGTTCACAACACGAATTATATCAAAGCTTTCTCTTAATTCCTTGTAGGGAATATCTTTGTTCTTTGTATCTTTGCAACTCAAATTTAGCTTTTGGATTTGATTTAATTTTGAACCAGGGGTGGGGAGGGGGGGGGGTGATGAACTCGCCAATCGCTCCTATAGGGATCGCGCGGCGGATGATCTTGGCCATCGTGACGTCACGAGAAATTTATCCAGGGAACTTTAAATGGTTTCAACGAGCGAAATTGTTTCGTGGTTTCAAGAGGTAAAAGTCGAGACGTTGCGATGAAACGACCGAAGGTATGTGTTTATCTATTAATGCTATATAGTAAAATTGCAATAAATTCTAGGAAAGAGCATTTCCATCGTAAAAAATCAAGAACTTCCCGAGATCGACCAGATGGTACAACTCATACCGGGGCGTCTTTAGAGACGCATAACTAAAAAGCCCAGCAGAATTTAGTCTCGAGAAAAACAAATGACGTTAATATGGTATAGGTCTCTCAATTGGTGATAGAAGTGAGTCATCTAATAAGTTAGCAAAAATGATCAGTGGGATAAAAGTCGCACACCTCAGGGATGTTTACAAGAATTGCGAAAGTGGCGTGGATAGGTCACGAAACATAGCGTTATGATGTTCATACTAGACTATCAAATTGTGTCAACAATTTATTAAAACTAAACAAATGTAAGAAGCAAGTGTCTTTTTTTAAATAGAATATGGGCTATAATCTTCAAGGGTTTTGAAAGGATTTCCTGTCTAATCGTCGCGCGATAATCAAGGATATTATTATAGCTTATTATATTGCAACTTTTCACTATAAATTACGATCATTTTATCAAAACATTCATTGCTCATGATGGAGATAAGTTCACATTGCCTTTCTCTTTGCTTTTTCGCCCCACAAACAAAGGAGAACATGGTTTTTATCCTGTAAATAGTCAAACAGAATTTATCACTAGGATAAAGTGCCGTGAGCTAAAGTTTTTGATCAACATCAACATTTTTAGGGCTTTATGCAGAGAATCCAGGAGGAGGATCCGTAGAAAGGATGGGTATGTAGCTTTGCCTTAATCGCTTTACAGAGTTGATAGAAAAAAAAACTAGAAAAAGCCAAGAAAACGGACACTAGTAAACGTTTCAATGGTGTAATATTGAAAATATGTTTTATTTTTATAGTTCAATAAAGACAATATAGTTCAGTGAAGACAACATAGTTCATAAAATACACTTAAGTTTACCAACGACTGCATGAGTTCAGAAAATGTCACAACTATAAATATATCTTTATTTGTATCGCAGATGCATAAAGGCAGGAGAAGGGGATTTTAATGGATATGCGCTTACTAATGATAATAATAATATCTAACATAAATTATTAATTAATTATTATTATTATTATTACTATAATAATAATTTTTTTTTTCTTTTTTAACCCTGAGGGGGTCTTCAGGAGCTCATGTGTAAACTTATAACATTAATAATAACAAGAACAACAGCTAAATGACAACGTACAGTTCAGTTCAGTTCACCTTGTTGCGAGGGGCTTGTTTATAACACTCCAACATCCTGCTTTTGTAATTTTAATGTACAGTTCAGTGCATCATTTTACGGGGGGCTTGTTTACAGTGCTCCGTCATCCTGCTTGTGTAGTTTTGTGGTATCTGCCCAGGAGGCATGAGGTAGCCAACAACAGGTGTAGCTTAGCAGAACCTCTGTTGCCGCAACACTGTACGGTGGTTCATTGCAGTATTCATTACGCACCCTTGTTATTGTTTTGGCATGAATAGAAACCAATTTTAGATTGCTTGCATGGCTTGGTTTTAAGGGGTTTATTATATTTTATGATCTTAGACTGCTCGGTTACAAGGAGTTTATTTTTTGGGGGGTGGGGAACAGGGTGGCAATATTCGTTAACTTTTAAATTTAGGGGATTTAAGGGAACTGGGTAATAAGAACTTTTAATAACATTATTTTTGATTTTAATACAGTTGCCTCAGCAAAAAAGGGGGAATTAGAGGGATGCATTATTTTTAACTTGTAACTTAGGAGAATAAGGGGAAATATGTATTAAGGACCTATAATAACAATATTTACTGATTTTAATTAGGCTGCCTGTGCAAACAAAGGGGAACAAGAGGAATGCTGAGGAAAAACCAATGCTTCATGATATAGGATTGCTGTTAT